CAGTTGTAACTTTTTTCATTACACGCACTTTGCGGTCAGCAGCCACGTGGTAGGAAAAATAGGGAAACGCGAGGACATAAAATAAATCGTGAGTAGAAGGAAAAAAAAGGTCATTCATGGCTGCGTGTATTCTGGTGAAAAGATCTTATACGGAAAAGAATCTTGAGACGATTCTGAAATATTGTGTTAATCGTTGCAATTTTTGTCTATTTCCTTATTTTTCTTTTATCAACAACAAAATTTTATGACAATATTTTGACACCTTGGATTAGAAATGACGGTTACATATAGCAGTAACGATTCGTATAAATATGATTAACAAATATATGTATATTATAATGTGGACATTGTGTGACATAAGTGGAACGTCAACATGGCCCAATTGCAACATCGAAGCAGAGCTACGTGGTTATGTATATTGCGAATCGGATTTAAGTACCAGTAATCTAATTATTATTCCATGCCTACGGCATGCATCGATTATCGATATGGCTATGTCTCTAATTGCAATCCCAGCCATTGGCCTAGTAAGAGGACGGACCGCGATGGCATCGGTTACATTGGGCTAATTATAAAGGGATGACGCTACAGAAACGTGTGATTGCCTCGCAATTAATTATCGATACGAAATAACTATAACATTTGACAAAGCATATTTAATCAGACTAATACTTGGAAACTGCGTATTAAACTTTTCTCACGCTTTCTAATTAGAAACAATTTAATTAAATTGTGATTGAGTAGCACATAACATCGTACGGAATCAATCTATGTAACATTTTTTTTAAATTGTCGCCATTACTTATTTCTACCAGTTTCTCAATCTGTACAGAATGAGATCTATTTTTAAAATCTTACAGATTTTCACCTGAGTAAGATTTATTATTTTGTTGTACCTCTTGCCTCAAAATGTGACACTGTTTCAACGCCACTATAGTAACTTTCCTATTTTGTAAAAGTTAAACTCAATATGATCTTGATCTTTATAATTTTTCTCGTGATGTTTTTAAAAAATAATGCCGAGGATTAAAAGTTCAGCGAGACTTTTTAAGTCTCTGTCTTGTGTTATATTTCGAGATTAAGACATACATCCTCTTATACGCGATAGTTTGCGTAGTAACGGAGAATTCTTCTCTTTCGTCGGGGCGAAATGTCAGATAAGTTTCGTCACGGCGGCGCCGGCATTCACCGGAAAGGCGCCACCGCCTATACACAGGATGCCCATCATCGGAAAGAATTCCGCGCGCGTTTCACATACCGACGTCAACGTCGCGTGTAAGGCGGGGGATTGAAATAAGTCTTCGATATATATTTCCTACATTCCACGTGAGAAATGCGCCGGGTGATATTTAGACAGGGTACCGTCGGCGTGTAGAATAGTGAAAGGGGGTTGCCGCCGTCGCCTCTCACCGAGAACTCGAACGGGATTGATGTACATTTTTATCGCGGTGGAGAATCGGGACGCCCTTTGAAAATTTATAATGCAATAACGCCCCCGACGCCGTCGGTGCCGTAAATATCCGGCTGTGCTGCATACGAGATATTTGTATTGCGAAGGTGAAAAGCAGTGCCCTTGCAAATCGAGATTTTTATCCTTTTTTTTTTGATATCTCGAGAAAAACGTGTGATATTGTTCAAGCAACTCTATTTCAGGCATAAAAGAGAATATACGAAGATATTTTGCACGCGACACTGACAGTATTTTAAAATTTTTTCGCGTGCGACAAATTATTTTCATGATGCTGATTGCAGGAGTCAAAAAGAAATGACGAAATTCAAACAAACTTATACGAGTAAAACTCTCGAATTTCTACTCGACCGACAGATAAAATATTTCGTTCCGCAACTTTCTAAAAATTGTCCGTACATTTATATGTCCCGAGGCAAAAGGGAAAAAATTCTTTCTAGACTGATGCCAGCGACTATGTAGACTCGTGCGTAGTTTTAAAATCGTCGTTGGAAATATGGAAATGAGAGAGAAACGTGATGAAGGGTGCCTTCCATTTAATGACTCAAAAAATTTGATGATTTCAAAAAAAGATAGAACGACGTTTGTATCACTAAATGGAAGGCACCCGAAATGAATTTATTTTTTTCTCGTGAAATTGAAAATTTAAAAAATCAAAAGGAATTTTGTAGCAATCTTTCTACAGTTCCATGACATGATATATAATTAATAACAATTATTTTATAAAAATGTCGCAAACAAACTGTCTTATTTTCTCACACGTTATCAAATAATTTCAGTAATGTTACTTTGAAGTTTCTATGTCGATATACACTATTCAATAAAAAAAAAGAAATAATTTTTAAAACGCTTAAAATTGTAAAATTTTCAGATTGTTGAAACTCGGTGAAAAATTATTGCAGACAAAAAATTAAAAAATGCATGTTAAAGCTTGGAATTTTTATTTAGCATGCTTTTAGCCATTTTTTGAAAAATTTTTTCTTTACAGTCTTCTATTTCTTACAAAATATTACATTGTGTTATTCGTTAAAATTACGTACATTTAACACTACAGTTTACTGGAAACATTTTGATCAAAAAATTTAAGACATTTACAAAAAAGTATAGAATTTTATCTACAACATGTTTTTTTTAAGTTTCTCTCGATTTTTTTTGCTAAATTATGTGACTTTGAAGTTTTTTTTTTCACTAAATTATGCGACTAAACTTGCAGTTTATACAATCAACGTTGAAGTTTGGCAAGAAATCATCGCCTACAAAAAATAAAAAAAAGTATTTTAAAGCTCGAAGTACTTTAACATGCTTTTGATCATCTTTGAAAAGTTTTTATCTTTACGGTTCTGAGCTTCGAAAAGGAGAACATTATTTTGTTCTCTAAAGTAATGTTCAACAGTACAGTACGTATGATAAAAATTTTCTTGAAAAATTTAGAATAAAATCTAAAATATTTTTTCTGAATGAAACATTCCGTTTATATATATTTTTATCAAGTTACGCGATTTTGAAAATAATTGTATATTTTCTTGAAAACTCATGTTTATCATCGACTTATTTTTTGTTGAATAATGTAACATATAATGAACATAAATCAATAGAGAATGTCGAAAGTTACGATGCATGAAGGAGGCATTTTTTCTGGATATAAGTAACTACATTATCTTGACGAATATGATGGAGAAACTTAGCCTACTTGACCGACTAACGAGCGTAATTATAGGAAACTCAGTATTGCGCGAAATACACAGGTGCTGTAATGATGTAACTTGGAAATTACCTTTAGGAATTGCTCACGCGAGAGCAATTAATACGCGACGCTCTCGGGAGCAATGCCTCAAAGCGTTAACCGTAATTTCAATTCATTAACGACTACTAACGTACAAGATACTCGCTAGCTTAGTAAAGAAATTGAGAGTAATGCTTGCTACAATAAGGGAAAATTATGGATTATATGTTGAAAATTACTTTAACTCGAAGATATTATATACGATTCATGGAAAATTTAATTATATGTAATCGGCGCTTTTCTCAAGAGAGAGATTGAATCTTCTGTGCCTCTTCCATCAAATATTGATAAAAGGAATTAAATTATAAAAATATATTAATTGACTTTCAAATAATTACTCGTTTATCTTTTAGACGACATCATGTCAATTTAAAAAAAAAAAGTATTTAAAATAATACATACTGTATAAAAAACGTATTTCTTCTTCATAGTTAAATATCTTATTAAATGGGTCATTTGCTTTAACGTTATAAACTGACTCGATTGTCTGAACACAACGTTCTTGTAAATTATTTTACTACCGTCACATTTTTTATATCTGCTGCACTTTCATGTTTGCACTTAAAAATAATTTGATTAGACTATCAAAATAGTTACGTAGGATATTCGAGCTAGTTGTTAGAATGTCAAAATTTTTTACAGCATTCCTCATCATACAAATTAAGTTTCTGTAAAGTTGCAAAAAAATAACGTATAATAGGTATCCAGAAGGAAAAGATTTTGCTAAAGTAAAATAATTTTGTTGGGTCAGCAAAGTAATTATGTAGAATGTTCAAATTGATTGTTAGAATGTTAACACTTTTTCCAATATTGCTCATTATGCTTGAAATTTCTAATTATTGTATTTTAATGACTCAATAAAATTATTTTCAAATCTGTATTTAGCTAAATTTTTATATACTTTAAATTATTTTTTCTATGTATTTTCGAAACATATCCGTATATTATTATAAAATTGCACGAAAGCAATGCGACTACAATTTCAAAAAAATTGATCTTTTAAAAGTTTCAAGCGGTTCATTCTTAATTCAGACAACATCCTACATTGTCCGATCCTTGTGTTGTCACAAGACAGTCTTAACCCATTCCGCAACATCGTGGCGAGAAGCAAGCGGTACTGGCAAGGAGTTACGGGCGCCTTCGACCCAGACGACCTGCACCCGACGTATCCTGGTGCCGGTGATATATATTCGAGAACGCCGTGCCGCGACACGCGCTGGCTGGAGAGTCCACTCGAGTTACGCGAGCGGCGTAACTATTGAAAATTATGTGACCGCCTTATCGTGCGGCTTCGCGTTCGCATCTCGGGACCAGTATTAAAGTCTTCGGGACGATCGATCAAAGATACGAACACCTGCTTAGCTCTGATCTCTTAAATTAGCAACACGCATTTCATCTTAAATAACATGTTCATCATTGGAGATATTAATCCTACTTAAGTACCAAGTCTATTGTTCTATTATTATACAATATGACTTACGGCCGGTTATCTCTCAGTTAGCCCCATTATATCACTCTGACGTTTGCTCTATGCATCCGATGTGAACGAACGGACTGAATTGAGTTCCTGGTCAATTTATCATGGCGTTTGCACGCAGGAAAGCTAGATAGAAACGAAATGAAATCCCCCGCCGTCTGGGAGAGACTGCTACTAGGGGTCATACGGTCCGCGGAGATTTTACCTCCGAATGTCGAGAGCTTCGAGGCAGATGGTAATATGTCTTTTCCTTTTTCTTCGGATTGTTGCAGATATCCAGGAGTTTTACGAGCTGACGCTGCTCGACGAGTCGAAATCGGTACAGCAGAAGACGGCAGAGACGATCCGCATCGCGGACAAATGGGAAGCCAGCGACGGGCCAATCACGCCGACCTTTGCTCAGAATGACGTGAGTACAGTTATAAGACCTCCATTCATATGCATGCATCTCGCGTCATTCGCGAATTGCACCGTGAATTTTTCCGAGCAGATAGGTAGAGAGATGCGGCGCGTCGAACCTGGTAATAAATCTCGATGAGATGCAATTTCGACGCGAGGCGAAAATGAATCTCTGTGTTCACTCGTTTCGTTATTCCGAACGAAATTGTTGGAATTGAAATCCCGACAATGTTGGCGCGGAAAATAGTACGAATATATAATTCGTCGTAGCGAGTGTTGATCATACCTCGCGCGACGGTGGCGTAATTAGCGTTGGTAATTATAATTGGCGAGTCGATTGGGCCGCAGGATATCATGCGGGTCCAATCAATCGGCTAGTCTACCGATTTTAATTGCTAATTGCGGACCGCCCGTCCGCAATCGACATGCGCCGTCGCGACGTCATATCGACGCCTCTGTCATAATGGCGAGCGATCGACGTGACATTCAACTGATGCGACGATTGCGTATAACAGTTGTATGCACCTCGCGTAACTTCAATCGCGACCACTTGACTCTTCCGGATTAATTCGATCGTTAAAATAACATTGCGATGACTATCGAAGTATCCTCGATAGCCGCCGTTCTACAAGGAAATTGAATGTGACATTCTTCGAGAACGTCACATTTATCGATATGATTAATATGTTACTACTAAACTACTAAAAACATACCGAATGTTCAATATAATTTTGAATGACGATTTTTTATTTTTGAAAATGCTTTTACAGAAATGTGATATCAATTTAATTACTGAAAGACAGTAATTAATTAATTATTTTAAGTATTGAAAATATTGTAATTCAAAGCGTTTAGTATTTCATATAATTAATTACTGTCTTTCAGTATTAAATTTATCAGTATTAGATTTCTGTAGAGGTAATGATTAATAATTAAAAAAAATATCTTTATGTGATAATAAAAGTGATTATTTCTGTTGCTAAAAGTATTATATTGTAAATTTAAATGAATATTAATATAATTTAATATGAATATTAAATTTGTTTATTTTTGTTATTGTCATATTTATAATTAATTCTCACCTTTTTCTCTGTTTCAATTTTTTAAATGTAATTGGTTATTATTATTGTTGTATATGAATTATAATATATATTAAATTTTAAATTCATTTCTCTGAAAAGAATCGTTGCACTATGCAACAAAATACATTACGATGAAATATGTTGATACGTTGATCGAGCGTGAATTAATTATTTAATTAACATCATTTTTCAAAATAATTTTGCAAAACCAATCAAACATACCAACGTAAACAAATATTGATGCTCTAAATATGCTTCTATTTCCAAACTGTAGTATGAATTTCTACTAAATTAATACGTTCTTCGATCTGCAGTATATTCAATTTTTAACATAATCTCGCTTGAACAATTGCACTTCCCATGCACATGAAGAACACTGATACAGCCAATTGTCAGCAGCAGCAGTAGAGAGCACGAAGAATGCGTGCGAGGAAAAGTCTTGGTATTTTTATTGCTCTCTCCGTACATTTTCAACTTCTTTTGAATGCGCAGCGTTCACGAGTGACGTTTATATAGTGCATTCCGGACGTACATTTCATCGCGTGAGTAGATATCCCATTTTCACATACGCGTGCGAAAAATATTCCGTGAAATTCCCATGAGAAGGGGAACATAAAGGATCCGCATATTTTCATTCTTCAAAGCAGTGTTAATCATCCGAGCTTAACGCCTTTCAGATATGCATAAAAGACACGCGAGACGCTGCAAGCTCTGTTACGATACTCCATAATAACATCACTATCCTGCTTTTGCGCAGGTACAATCGAAATTAAAGAAATACAAGTGCATCGTGTGGAAATCGTGTTTCCTTCCGTCGACATTTTCCGATATTTTAAATAAAGCTTTCCTGCATTTTCTTTACGGTGTACAATTAAGAGAAAAGAACAAAGCGAAATATTAATGAGGCTTCCCGAGTTTGCGCTCGTTTTACAATTATGCCGATGCACGCGCGCCGGGCAAAAGCGGATTACACCGCAGATAACAATGTTTCGTACTGAAGTATCATCTTCCTCTACTTCTCTCTCTCTCTCTCTCTCTCTCTCTCTCTCTTTTCTCTTCTCTTCTCTTCTCTTCTCTTTGCATATAATAAGCTACAGAATAGGCAGACTGTCGACACGCAGACGCAATATATACATCCACCTATACCGCATATGTACTCTATTATGTAGTATATATGATCGTATTAGTATGCCCAAGTAAACGTTATTCTATATATTCTATATATTCTATACATTGCGATTGAATTTGTTCGTTACAGATATATTTCTTCATAATTTGATCGAAATTCTGCCTACGCTTTGTTTTTGGGTGTTATTGACTATATTTTATTTCTTTTTCCGCCAATTAATTTTATATAATTTCACAGATTGTCATTTTAAAACATTTTTATTTTAATTTTTAGCAATTGTTTAATTTAATTGCAATATTTTACGATAGAAATTGACAATTTTGCTGTTACATTATATACACACACATACACACACATACACACATACACACACACACACTTTTGAAAAGAACATAGAGATGAAAGACTTATATGCTATGAATCAATATGAAGTGCTATAGAAATTAACTAGAGATGAACCAATACGTTGTAATCCGCTACTGACACACAGTAAATATAATTTACAGAAATTAAACGTTATAATTAAAGTCTAATTATATTGCGCTTGATCATGGACTATATCATCTGAGCAGCTCAAGAAACGGAGCATTAAATAAGTCTCAAATTTAACTACAATATCTTAATGAAATACTTTCCATGTGTCACCATCATATATCAGTGAGAGCAAAAAGTATTCATACAAGGAAATTTATTATAAAAAAAGTCTTATTTCTAGAAAATACACATTAATTAGCAATTTTATACAATAAATACATTCTGTTCTAATATTAACAAACGAGCTTCGCGCGCGCGTATGTATTCCTGATTTTAGAAGCTAAATTTCTCGTACGAATACTTTATGAGCATCCAAATAATACAATTTTTAATTTTCGCTTATTTTTTGGACTATATATTTTGTATAATTAATACACATTATTTTGGTAAATATAATTTTAAGAAACATACAGTCTATTTTATTCTTTATGAATAAATTGTTAATTATCCAATAAGAAATGATCGTTAATTAAACGTCGAATTGACGTTTAATTAGTGTTAAAAATCATCGAATTTATATCGATTCGACATCAATTCAATGATTCATTTCTCGTTGGATAATATTTATTTTTTAAAAATAAAGTTTTTTAAAAAAATATTTTCTTTTTACGAATACTTTTTGTATTGACTGTATATAATTTTTGATTGAATTTTTTTTTTTTAAGATTCGATTTGCTCGCAGTTTTATCAGAAGTATATATATATACGAAGAAAGAATGTGTAATAAAGAGATTGACTTATTGTTCATATTTATGATATAGCATATCGGCAATATGCAAGTATTTAATTAAAAAATAATGCCTGTTCGATTATTGTGATTTTTTTTTCGATTTTACAACAAAATTATTTATAATATTTACAGTAAACAATTGGCATTTCAATTGCTTTATATATTTAGAGAATTTATAATAAATAATGATATTAAAAAAGCAAAAAGGAAATATACAATATCGATTCTATATGTATGCATGAGGTATAGCAATTTTTAATTTAAATCAATTGAAATGTGAATTTGACCAAGCCTTATTCAAAACAATTGTTATATGAGAAATAAAAGCATTGCTTTCACATTATTTGATTTTAAAATAATTAGAAATCAGAAATGACAATGGAAGTGGAATCCAAATACTCAAATTGCAGTTCTCTCTTTTTATTAAATATTTAGTAATTTCATTTTTTTTTATATATCGAATGCTCTATCATTGTGACAATAACTAACCGCCTGACTGATTAAATGCTTGCCAAACAATCGAAAAATATTTTATCTCAATTGTAATTACTAAATGCATTTTTCATGTAACGCGTTCGATAATAGACATGTTTAATGTATGCGAAATATTTCTTTTATGTAGCTGAAATGTTTTCTTAATAATAATATGAAAGGTAATAATTTTTTAGTTATTAGACCAATAAAAAAAGAAACAACGAAATAAAGAAGATAAAATCTTATCTTTTACTAAACTTTTAATAAACAATTGAAAACTTAAAACAATCGAACAGAATCTCGATTTGAATTACTAATTTTTTTTTTCTAATTAGAAATCTATTTTTTTATTTCTGCACTTTCTGAACTAGTGTATCTACACGATGCAATAAGTTGAAATGAATATGATTGTTAGGACTTCGACAATTATGAAAATGTATACGACGACCGATTGGATTTTCAACAAGAGAATATAATTTTTGCTTTCAATGTCGTTTTATTAATCAAATTCAATTACCATAAAAAAATCGCAAAAAAAAAGGAAGAATGTTTAATTTGCTCTCGAGGCCGGAAAAACGATAAACTGACAACAATGTCGAACGACACATATCGTCGCCGCGCGTCGTATACTATCACATATATGTAACGCTACATATAACGCTCTCTCTCAAAACAACAGTTAACAACTTCTAATGGCGCATTAAACGCGAGCCATTACCATCGTGAAACGCCGCTGTTCTTTGTTATAGTGGCCGCTTTGCCATTCGCTAACCGTCAAAACTTCGATACACATTGCTGACTGGTTGTACGTTTGTTCGTGGGTTTTACGAGATAGTTTAAATTCAAACAAAAATAGACGCGGCTCCAAAGAGCGCGTTTGCAACTGATAACTCTAATTATATACATAGCAGAAATTACATTGTAATGTTTACGACTAAATGACTTGACTTAAATCAACGTCCATCCGAGATACAGAAATTTCATACTAATTTTGAAGGCGAAAATTAAGTGTACTCGAAAATCATACGTAGAATCAGAGAAAGAACAACGTCGGAAAGTTG